CCCCCCCCCCCCCCCCCACTGCAGGGCACAGAACACAGGAAGCATGTGATAAGAGGACAATAAGGGGATGGGAGCCAGCCGCTATCTCTGTAGGGCTTGCTGAGCTAGGCAACCCCCTCCCCCCCACACATACAAGCAAGGGGAGGGGAACTGTTAGGAGAGGGCAAGGGGAGAAGAGCTCCCAGCAGCTGGCTTAGCCACAACTGGGCTGAGAAAGTGAAACCAAACCCACTCCCACGCCACACACTAGCAAGGGGGGAGCCAACCGAGCAGGAAGAGTGCAAAGGATGTAGGGCTTGCTGAGCTAGGCAACCCCCTCCCCCCCACACATACAAGCAAGGGGAGGGGAACTGTTAGGAGAGGGCAAGGGGAGAAGAGCTCCCAGCAGCTGGCTTAGCCACAACTGGGCTGAGAAAGTGAAACCAAACCCACTCCCACGCCACACACTAGCAAGGGGGGAGCCAACCGAGCAGGAAGAGTGCAAAGGAGAAAAGGGGGGGCAGTATGAAGGAAGCCCGCTTTGCCCACCCTGGGCCAACGTGCAAGGAGGGGGACTGGATGGGTGAGGGGCCAAGCAAGGAGGCAGCTAAACTGGCAAGCAGCAGCCGCAGGGACACAGCAAGCTGGGTGTGGAGGTCTCTGCAGAGCAGGGCTGGCTCTTGTCCTGGAGCCTGGGACTGGAGAATGCTGCAGCAGCAGGGAGAACCCATGTGACTGTCATTCGAGCCTGGTGTCTGTGCCAGGCAGGTTATGGGGGCTGCTGAGGCTCCCCACATGCAAGCTGCAGGCAGGGAGGGGACAGGCTCCAGCTCCAGCCTTCGGTAGGCAGAGCCTGCCTTTGCCTAGCAAACCAGATGCCCATGCTCCTAATGTTGGTTGTTTCAATTCTGGGAACAGAACTTGAGAAAACTAGGTCCTTCATTTCCAAGGGACTAGCATACCCGCAGCTTCTAATTATTTAAAATTGAACTATAAATGCACAGTAAACCTAAAAATCAAGCTTCAGGTGTCTAGCACACACAAAACCTGAACCTTCCGTGGCTAGCAGATACTCTTGAAAAATGTTACCGTATTTTCCGGTGTATAGGGCAACTGGGCGTATAAGACGACCCCCTATCTTTTTAATTAAAAGATAGGGTTTCATCTTATACCCCAGCGCCCCTCCGCCTCCTTTGCTCCCGGTGTCCCTGGTCTGCTGGAGATGGTCCCCAGCAGCCCAGAGGCACCGGGAGCAAAGCCGCCAGGAGCGCCTGGGATCCCCCCGCCGGAGCCCCTCCGCGCCGCCGCGGAGGGGCTCCGGCGGCGGGGCATCCGGCGTACAAGACGACCTCTGAAGTTAAAAAACATCCCCCAAAAATCGGGGGTCGTCTTGTACGCCGGATGCCCCGCCGCCGGAGCCCCTCCGCGCCGCCGCGGAGGGGCTCCGGCGGCGGGGCATCCGGCGTACAAGACGACCTCTGAAGTTAAAAAACATCCCCCAAAAATCGGGGGTCGTCTTGTACGCCGGATGCCCCGCCGCCGGAGCCCCTCCGCGCCGCCGCGGAGGGGCTCCGGCGGCGGGGCATCCGGCGTACAAGACGACCTCTGAAGTTAAAAAACATCCCCCAAAAATCGGGGGTCGTCTTGTACGCCGGAATATACGGTAGTTAATTTGTTAGTGGGCAAATGTCTGTCTGCAACCACCCACTGTATCTGCACTGTATCTGTATCCTTTTTATCTGATTTTTCAAGCTGCATACAATATAAATTGTATATTTTGTTAAAATGAGGAGTCCTATGGCACCTTAAAGACTAACAGATTTATTTGGCCATAAACAAATGTGCATCTGACAAAGGAGGAAAAAAGCTTATGAATAAATGTTTGTCTTTAGGGTGCCATAGAACTCGTACTTGCTTTTGTGGATACAGAGTAACACAGCTATCCCCCTGATACTTTGTATACTCTGTTGGGATCAAAGCAACCTGAAAGTTGCAAACACAAACTTTTCATACTGTTAACATGATCACTTTTTTGAGTCGCTAAAAACTATTGAATTATCAGTGTTCTACCATTAGAAATAATTTTTCTTTCATGTTGCAACGCTGCTATTTACCACCCATTAGCAGACAAGTGCATATATTGTTAATGGAGCACACAATTAACAAAATCATATAAGCTGAGCTAAACAACTCCAATACATAACAAAATGAATCCAATTAAGAAGGTGTGATGAAGAATCAAGTTAAGTAAGATGGAAAATTTAGTTTAACCAGTTAACTAACTAAGTGGAATTCTACATCCCTGTTAGCCGGGGGTGGGCAAGATACCCCTCATGGGCCAGATCCCACTGGGACGCTCAGGCACGCAGCAGCCATTCTTTTAAGCACGGGGCTGCTCTGAGTGCCTCCCTGCTCTGGAGGGAGGGGGAGGCTTCATGTCATCACCCCACCTCCAGTCCAATCCTCAGCTTCTATTGGCTGGAAACCACTGGCCTATAGGAACTGACCTCAGCCAA